ATGCAGTTGCTGCTGTTTTTGATGACTGAAGACCCTGTGTTATCTACTGTTTCTGCATGAGCGGGGGGTTCTACTGATTGTATTAAATGTCCCCTGCAAACTCGGATGAACAGTGGAAAACCACATTGTATTTAGACTAGTGAAAAGGTTTTGGCACAGGAACGTCCTCTGGTTTCAGCCATGTTGTAATTCTGTATCACTGGCATTCCCTAGGTCACTTGTATTGCTTTGTTCTGTCAAATTTGGTATTTTGATACAGTATCAGTCACACAATATTTCTAAAATTTCCCTCAATGTTATGCATCTTAACAGTATGCTAGACCAAGAGACTAAAGAGGCAGCAGTTTCCTTGAAGAAACAGCTTTTGATCACTGTAGGCTAATGCCTAAGTAACTTAACTTATGATTGTAAGAATGAAATAAAAAGAATATAATGGCAGGATAAGAAATGATATTTTTTTGAACTTCTTTGATTTTCTGAGGATATACATACTATAAGAAAAAGCACTTTATTGTGGCCTGTGAATTTTATGAAAATGTGAAGAATTTTTTCCCTAAAATAGGTAATATATTTAGGTAACAAATCTTCTCTAGTGTTAGTAGAGGAATTTATTTATATTATAGTAGAAAATAATTTATATGTTTCACCAGAAATAAGCTATGTAAGATTTGTATGTAAACTTTTGTGTTTTTATCCTGTGTTGATTTACCTTAAATTTGCAACATACATATGTATAAAAATATAAGTATTTGATTTTAACTTACATTTTCATTAAAATATTTTATAAATTAACACTGTGCTTCTAGGTAAATATTTTCATACAATGTGTGTGAACTTTAATCTTGAACACTACTGTTTAAAAGTATTAAATTTAACTTGGTTTTGCTATGCTTCTTTTTAATAACTGGTAATAAAAAGCAGAAAAATGCAGATTTAGAACTATGCTCTCAAAAAGCAGTCACACATTTCAATTTACCATCACTTATAAATACCAGAAGAGAAACCTCTCCCCCTACTCCCCAGTACGACAGCACTTGTGGACAATTATCATTTATGACTAAAATAACGTAAATCTAATTCCCTAGTTTTCCCAACACAGATTACATGCAGTGTATCTGGATGAGAAAAGCTTCAGCTTTCTCTATACTTGTAAGTGGTAAATAAGCATTAATACTTCAGTTAAAAAAAATTAGCAACCAAAAAGGGTTTGGCTAGAAATTGTGTTCTTGGTAATGTTTCTGAAAGGAAGTAGTTTCATTTTATTAATTATAGATCTCCTAACATACATATTTAATTTATGTAAATTTTTAAAGAAAACATCTTATTCAAGTATTGTTTGCTACTTTTCATACACATATTTGACTTTTAAAAAGAGTAGATATGTAGTTAAAATAAATTTTCCTTTTATTTCTAGGAAGATTATTCACTAAGTTTATTTAATCACATATGATTCCTTTAAATTCTCCCATCCCATTTTCTGGGACATGAATTCCAGAAATGTAGGAAATTTTAGTCTATGAGTTTTTTTCCAAAATGAACTTTTAAAATAAATTACTGCTTTTATATTTTAATGTCATTCAACACTTACTGAGACCTTTTATGTGGTAGGCAGTATAAAAAGTACTGGAGATAAGACGTTTCAGAAGTTCACTGGCCTCATTAAGTTTCAGAGCTATGATTGATAGCTGTGTGCCAGGGGTCTTTTCAGAGCTATGATTGATAGCTGTGTGCCAGGGGTCTAATTCCAAAGGCCCACTCAGCCTGGGGGCGAGAGGGTGTGGTCAGGAAATGCTTCCAAGAATAGGGCAGGTGATCCAATTATACAGACCTGGAGGTGGGAGTTTCACTCAAACTGTGGGATGTAGCCATAGTTGCTTAAGCAAAGGGTATATACATGGGGATGTGGTAGGCAATCAGATTAGAAATGTAGTCAGAGGCCTTGTGTGCCAGTGGAGAAATAAGGCAACAGGGAACCAAACAACTCTAATAATTAAAGAGTTGTTTTTTTCCCCACCAGCATTTATTTTTAATGAAAGAAAATGGGGTTAAGCATAGTTTAATGCAACGCAGAAAACACCAGAACATGTCATCTAGTAAGGCCAGTTTTTGTTGTGTTTTAGAAAAATAACTGGCACTATGGAAAATGTGATTTATAATAAGGTGGCCAGTTTTAGAACAATCTAAAAGCATGGTTTGGACTGAAATATATTTTTAAAAGGTACCATAATGACACTGATGCAATTTCATCTTCCCCTTTCTACCAGTTAAAAAGAACAAATGGTAAAGCTAAACAGAAGCTGCTTTGCTTACATGAAGAGCAAAGTGAACTAATTTTAAAAAATTTAAGAGCTCTGATGTTCAGAGCAGTCATGTGATATTTCAGAGGTAATCCAATGTATTAGTTGATTAAAATTAGAGATTTTACCAAATGATAGGAACTTTAAAAAAGAATTTCCCTAAGTTGTAAATGTGAGACATTTTTAACCACTTGAGAACTTCTATGTAAATCTAATAAATAAAAAGTTAGTTTACTTACATTTTTAACGTTTCTCTCCATCACAGTAGCGTTACTGGGGGAAAAAACCAAAAACCAAAGTTCATCTACTCACTGCTCGAAAGCCCATATGGAGACACATGTGTTGGGTGGAAAGGAAAGGCTGCTTTACTCCGGAAGCTGGCAGCCTGGGATGACAGAGGACTAATGTCCAAAGACCATCTTCAAATTTCCAGACCAAGCAGAAGAGTTGTAAAGGGGAGGACGGGGTGGGGGAGTTCCAGGGAATTGAGAAGCCTGTTTCTTCAGTCATAGATAACACTTTTTCACATCAGACCCCGGGGCACCAGCAGCTGGTGGCAGCTACCTTGGAGACATTCCTTCCTTCTGCAAAACAAACTCATACGTTCTCCTCAAGACCCTGATGTTATCTCCTCATGCTTGACAAAGAAACGGCATCAGCAACACAAAATTATACTGAGAACAAAGGGTGCTGCTGGGCTGAGGACCAAGATTCTGCAAAATATCTCCTATTGTCTGTCAGTGACATTTTCTTTAAAGCAAAATGCATAAACGACATCTTGTGACTGTCTCTATTATTGAAGCTATCACTGTTTTGTGCTTAACTAGCTATACTGTTTCTATTAAGCAAAGTATACATTTTAATATTTCTCCTGGAACCTGCTTTACAGGCAGTCAGTCCTTACCAGGACTAATGTGCTTTCTTAATCTTTTACTATAAGCTACATGGCAGCCAAAGCAATTGAAACATTTTGTTAAAGCTTACCTACCTATCTTAATAAAAAAATATTTAATTCTAGTTGTCAAAAGCACTTAGGAGCATTAAAATCATAAGGGGCTCAGCTACAGTAGTAGCTTGTTTTTGGCATTTACCTTTTAAAAACTACGTTTCATTTAATGCTGACATCATCCTGATGGCATCACACAGGTGCTAAGATGATGATGTTTCCATTTTACAGGTGAGAAAAATGTTGGCTATTGTATAATCCAGTCAGCAACACTGCCAGAACCACTACTGTACCATGCCACTTCAACAGATACTGCGTATTCTTAAAGCATGTCATGGTTTTTAAAAAATAAATTAATTTGATATGAGTTGAAATAAGGATTTCTCCAAAACCATTTTCATGTTAGCATTTTTGGTGTTAAGTAATACACATTTACCACGTTTGTTGAAACAAAAGTTCAGTCGGCAACCTGAATCAAGTAACTTTGTCAAGGATAAAATAAGACCACCAATGCATGATACAAAATGTTTAATATACATGCAACAAGTATAATACATCAGGGCAACAAAATACGCATGGAAATATTAGCATGTAATTCAGCATTCTCTTTTGGGGAGGGTGTGTGAACATTAAACACCACCACTTAAAACTAAAGATTGAGACATAAGTTGTTTCCTCATGCACACATTAACAAACTACCTCTATAACTAGTGTGAGATAAACTGTGTAGAAACCTAAATTCACATTAGCAGATGAATTTTATACCAAGAGCTCCAAGAAAGGAGGAAAAATTACGATCCTCAGGTGTCATGTTTAAATCTGCATTTAGCAGCATGTTAAGATGCACAAGTTACTGTGTCCATTAGACAAATCTGAAAAATTTTATCAATTATGGAACCTTGAATTTCTGTATTATAAAAATGTATGGAAAAATTTTAACAAAGATTTTTTTTGAAATTATTGAAGGAAAATGTCAAGTTGAGAGTGGACCGTGAATGATAAAGCATTTAAGTATTATTCTGATAGTTGCTTGGAAAGCAGCAATAGTGCTTAAGGCCAGCCTAAAAGTTTTGACTTTCCCTCCGTAACCATTTCTCATCCTCCTCCCAAGGCTTCCATTTGTCCTCATTTTACACCTTCCAGTCGTCCTCCAAGCGGAGTAAAAAAGAAGTCAATAAATAACTGCTTTGGGCATCTCGCTCGCAATAAGGCGTACAGAACTAAGAGAGAAAGTCCCACTGCTCAAGAATATTTGCATTTCTACAAGTAATAAAACCTTACGCTAAAAGAATAAAGCTCTGAGTAGTTCTGGTACATGCAAGATAACTTATCTTAAGGACTTCCAGGCCTCCTTTGTCCCTGAAATGACACTGAACTGTCTTACGTACAAGACAAGCCTTGTTACTACTTATTATCTTAAATTCCAAATTATGAGAGCAAAACTGAAGATTACAGAGAACCACCACACTCCTGCATTTCTAATCAAAGAATGAATGTGATAGGTTCAGCACTTTTTGCCTTCTCTCAAAAATTGTTTTAGGAGGAACATTCTTCCTACATATCAAAGCTACTAAGTTTGAATGTAATGTTTTATTAATAAACAAAAAATAGCACGTTAAAGTCCCCAATAAGGATTATAGCCTCTTCATGTAAACAGTGTATAAAACTTCTTTGGCACAGCTGATCCATGGTTTCCTCATATTACTACAGAAAATATACTTAATACATTTTCTCTTTCAATACGGTGGAATTTTTAGGGACAAGATGTATAGTTCCAAAAATTGCAAAAACATTTAAAATACAGCTCATAGCTTTTTTAAAAAGAAATATTTTTTTTAACCTGTAGAAGTGCAAGGATTTTTTATATTAACTTTAAAATGAGACTAAGTGATAGGAGCTGTGAGACATACATGATATAATTCATTGTTGCACACAGGGAGAAAAAGCAGCACTGTATGCTGGACACTTTAAGTATGGTTGATTACCCTACTGATCCTAATTTAAAAGCTTCTCAAGTACTTAATGGAACTTGAAATCTTTCCTGATCAAATACTTTTTCAACATCTGTTCTATATTTTTTAATGTTTCCAACATTTGAGGCATATTTGATATTTTTTAACTGATAACCTTTTAAGAAAATTTTGGGAAAACAAAGATAAGAAATTTATTCATTTTACCTAACTGGCCTAAAATACTGTAAAATACTTTCCTTATGACCCTAACATTTTTATAGTAACTGCCTAAAGGCACAGTCCTACAAAACTTATAAAATGTTCAATGGAATGTTGATATGAAATGATAACTGTTAAAGAAAAATTGAGTAAGCCACTATGAAACTGCAGCTGAGAATGTTCTCATATTAAAAACAAGGCTATTAAACATTAGGACCTAGGAAGAAATTAATGAAAATGAAATTAGTCATTTTTAGAAATTTTAATCATTGCATAAAAGAGTGAAAGAAAATACTTAGCTTAAGTCTTTGGAATAAACCTTGAATTGAACTCAGTCTCTGGCAATTATGATATTTAAATATATGAAAATCAGCTGAATAATAAATATGTACAATTTGCAATGGATTATTCATTTAGAGGATCTCTGAAAGTTTTTTTAAGCCTATTCATTTTAAACTTCCTCAGTGACAAATATAAGAATTGTAAAATGAAAAATGCCAGTATCATTTCTTTTTTCACTCAGAAGTTTACATTGAGTGGACTGAACGCTAATATAAGCAATAGGATTCCAGACGTGCCAGAACAATATAAAATTCCAAAGGTTTTTCCCACCAGTCAAACTTACGTAAATAGAACATTTGCAACAAAATCTTTTGGCTTTTACATAAAAGTTTTCAGGATGGAGTTAGGCCTGGACTTGTCATCTCTGTTGTAGGACTTGCAAGGCAGTCATTAGATTTTAGGCTTGTTAGAGATTTGTAACTTGCCACTGATGTTAGAGACCCACAGAGACCAAGTAATGAGGGAGTATCTTCTTTACCTGGAAATTAGGATAAAAATAACAAATAATTGCCCTTGAAGAATACAAATAAGGATCTAAAACCATTAAAAACTTCCTATTTTACCAATATTGCATATTCTTGAATATTGTGATGTCAACAGTTGCTAATACATATATGCATATACATAAGCACATAAAATTATTACAATGGATTAAAAAATAACAAGTACATTAAAATCTGAGTTAATATTTTAAAAGCAGTTTATTGATATGGAGGGATGAACTTGTCAAGGCTAACAAAACCCCGTGTCCAGATGACTGACTGGGAGATCAGTAGTTCCTAGCAGGAGCAAACTAGTCATCAGGAGCAGAAAATGGGCTTTTGTTTATAGCAATAAAGGTCAGTTTGTTTTAAATGTATTGATATGGAATCTGGACTCTACAAGTCTTCAGATGGTGCTGCTACAAATAGTATGAAGTTAGAAATCAGTGGGTGTCCTCTCTGTGCCAGACACTGTGATAAAAAGATACATTTAAAACCACTTCTTGGGCTGGCCAAGTGGCTAAGTTTGTTTATAGTTGGCTTGGGAGCACAAGCTCTGAGCAGCAGGGCCGCCGGTTTGGTTCCCACATGGACTAGTGACGCTGCGCCCTCCACAGCTAAGATGGTGAACAACAGCTCAACACGGAGCTGGGCTGCCGTGAGTTGCCGGCAATGGCATAGGCTGTAGTGGGGCTCAGTGGACTGCCGTGAGCTACCATGAGTGGCCATCCAATGGCCGGCGACTGACTGCCTCAGCTGGGAAGAGCGCAATGATCATAATACCAACATGGGCCGGTGAAGCGATGTCCTCCACAACTAGACTGAAGAACAAAAGGACAGCAACTTGTCTGTTCCCCTTACCCAATTCCCCAATAAAATCTTTAAAAAAAAACAACTACCACTTCTCCCATAGGGCATTTAGTATATGGTGGAAACAGACACAAAATTATAACAAAATGCAGTAAGTGCAGTGAGAACAGTGTAAGTCAAGTGTATGATGGAAGATTATAGAAGTATCCAAACCAAATCAGAAAATATAGGTTAGGGGCAACTAGAGTAGTTTCAGGGAGAAAGTGACCACTGAACTGAATCCCAGTGGGCATGCATATCCAAGGAGGCAGAAACCAGAGGCTCTGCAGAAGACCAGCATGAGCAAAAGCACAGATTAACACTCAAGGTACAGGGAGCAAGAAATGAGATGAGGGGAATGGGTTCAGGCCACAGAAGACTTCAGAGTTCACATTAAGGAGCCTGGAAATTATCCTATAATCATATATGTTTGTACTATGACTTGAAATCAAGTCTTCTGAATTCAGAGACATTTTTGGTCATACTCATATACTATGGAGTCAATGAAGCCTTATAAGAATTACTGCAATTCATACTTTCTAATAGAATAACACAAAGTGCTTGTGAAAAAATCTCTTAAGGGAAAAATCTTCCAAGTAGATGAAGCTTGGTGACACATGCAAAGGATTGCTTGTCACATGCCAAGCATATAACTGAAGGCAAAAGAAATTCCTCAGAATAGATAAAATAAATTTTGAAGCAACAAGCAACTGGTGTGACTGATTCATGCATCAAGCAGGATTTCTATTAAGATGTCAAACATCCATTTGTCATAGAACAAATTGCCGTTGCCTTTGAAGATCTGGAATAAATTTAACCAAAGAAGTGCACGGGTTGTACACTGACAACAACAAAATATTTCTATATTTCCCAAATTGATCTACAGATTCAATGTAATCCCCTTCAAAATTTTAATTCCCCATTTTTTTCAGAAATGATAAGTTGATTGTAAAATTCATATTGAAATGCAAAGGACCTTGAATAGCCAAAACAATCCTGAAGAAGAACAAAGTTGGAGAATTCACACATGCTGATTTCAAAGCTTACTACAAAGCTACAGTAATCAGACAGTGTGGTCCTGGAGAAAAGACAATGAGGCACTGGCAGAGACCCACAGACCAACAAAACAGTACTGAGAATCCAGAAATAAACCCACATATGTGATATATTTCAACAAGAGTTCTAGGACCATTCAATGGGCAAAGAATAGTCTTCAACAAATGGTCCAGGGTAAACTGAATATCCACATGCCAATGAATGAAGCTGTATGCTTAAATCACACCCCATGGAAAAAATTAACTCAAAATGGATCAAAGGCCTAAATGTAAGATCTAAAAACTATGAAACCCTTAAAAGGAAACATAGGTGTAAATATGCATAACCTTAGATGATGCAATCGTTTCTTTGATACGACTACAAAAGCACAAGCAACCAGAAGACAAACTATTATAGATAAACAGGACTTAATCAGAATTTAAAACTATGACTCAAAGAACACTAGCAAGAAGGTGAAAAAAAAACCCTTCAGAATGGAAGAAAATAATTGCAAATCATATCTGATAAGGGTCTACTCTCCAGAATACACATAAAGAACTATTACAACTCAACCATTAAAAAAAAATGCAATTTTTAAATGGTCAAAGAATCTGAACAGACATTTCTCTGAAGATGAGATACAAATGGCCATTAACACATGAAAAGATGCTCAATGTTGTTACTCATTAGGGCAATGCAAATCAAAACCATGAAATTCCACTTTACACCCACTAGGATGGCTGTAATAAAACAGATAGTAACAAGTGTTGGTGAGGGCATGCAGAAACTGAAACCCTCATACTTTGCTATTGGGATTGTAAATTGGGATTGCAAATGATTAAATATGTGATCAAGCCAATTCCATTCCTGGTTATATACTCAAGAGAAGTAAAAATATATGTTCTCATAAAAACTTGTATATGAATGTTCACAGCAGCATTATACATAATAGCACAAAAGTGGAAACAATTCAAGCATCCAGCTGATGAATGCATAGACAAATTGTGGTATATTCATACAACGGAATATTATTCATTCATAAAAGGGAATGAAGCAATGATAAATGCAGCAACATGGCTGAACTTTGAAAATGTGATACTAAGTCAAAGAAGTCAGACGAAAAAGGCTACATATTGTATGATTTCATTATTTGAATGTTTAGAATAGACAAATCCAGAAAGACAGAAAGCAGCTTAGTAGTTACCAACAGGTGGGGTGGGGAGGAATTGGGACTGACTGCTAATAGGTAGGTACAGGGCCTCTTTTCTGGGTGATGGCGATGTTCTGGTGACTGTCATATGATCATGCACTGCCCAGGATGTTCCAGTCAGTGACGGGCTGCATGGACGACTGTGGTCCCATAAGATTATAGCGGAGCTGAAGAAAGAATTCTTAGAGCCTAGTGACGTCGTAACGACAGCGCAACATGTTACTCACGTGTATGTGATGATGCTGGTGTAAACCTATTGCGCTGCCACTTGTATAAAAGTACAACACATATAAATTATGTGCTGTACATAATACTTGATAATAAACGACTATGTTACTGGCTTATGTATTTACTATACTACACTTTTATCTTATTATAAAGTGTACTCTTTCTACTTATAAGAAACATTTGCTGTAAAAGAATAGGCCATGTTACGTGGGCAATAGCCTCACATCTCACGTTTACTGTATCTCTTGATTGTATCATTTTCTCTTGTGCTTGACTTAATCTTGTGTTGTTTTCTACAGTAACATGCTGTACACACTTGTAGCCTGCGAGCAGTAGGCTATTTCATGTGGCCTAGGTGTGTGGTAGGCTATACATCTAGGTTTGTGTAAGTGCACTCCGTATAATGACAAAATAGCCTAAGGACACATTTCTCAGAACATATCCCCAATGTTAAGAGCTGCATGACTGTATACTAAACAGCAATGAATTGTACACTTTAAAATGGTGAATTTTGGGCCGGTCGAGTGGCACCTTGGTTAGGGGTTGGCTTGGGACGCCAGCTCTGAGCAGCAGGACCTGGTTCAGAT